TGACGGGGACGTCCGACATCCGACGCCAGTCGACGGCCACTTGCAGATGTGGCGCCAGCAGCGCACGGTGGGCCGGAAGACCGGTGGAGGTGGCCAAAATTCTAGACGTGTTTCGAGCTCTAGAGTCGCTAATCAGGACTCTAACCGAACGTGTGACCCTACCAATGGATTCCTCGTTCGGAGAGCAATCCATTGGTGCGGGGTCACACGTTCGTTTCGAGCCCCAATTCGCGACTCTGGAGCTCAAGACGTGTCTGGAGTTTTGGCCGCCTGCGCCGGTCTTCTGGCCCACTGTGCAGCGCCAGCCATCTGCGGATGCTGCGCGGTGCGCGGCCGTCGACCTCGCCGACGGCGGCGTCGGAGGCGACGCGGTTCGCACGCGGCCTGGCGGTAACAATCGCAATGCGGCGGTCGTCGGGCACGGCGGGCACGGCGACGACAATGGTTTCGAACGGGCAGACGGACGGCGCCGTCCGGAACACGGTTCCAGAACACGGCCTGCAGGTGGGCGGCCGGAAGCGCGGCCACTCCGACGCGCTGTTTGCAGTGTACGCGCCGGAGAAGTGCGAATCGGTCAGACACTCCACTGTAGGCCGTGCCCCCCGTCGTCGCTGAAGGACGGCCCCCGTTTTTCGCCGAGGTGACTCACCTGCCGGCCGTCTCCGAACGCCGCTCCGCCGCTCTGTCTCTCTCGCACTCGCGGGGCGTCCCCTGCCAGTGCGAGAGAGACAGCGTCGAAAGCACTGCGGCTCCGTGGCCGCGGCGCACAAGGCACGCGGGGGAGGCGGCTCGAACAGCCTCCATCCCACACGCTTACATAGTCCTTTGTTGTCTCCCTCTTTCTTTCTTTCTTTCTCTTTCTCTTCTCTCTCTCTCTCTCTCTCTCTCTCTCTCTCTCTCTCCCTCTCTCTCCCTCTCTCTCTCTCTCTCTCTCTCCAGCTCGTCGGGCCGACCGTCTAACTCATTATATTCGGGGCAGCGACCGACTCCAAACGCGCATCCAAACATTTGAGGCGATGGCATGTCTTTGCCTTGGGGACCGCTTTGGTGACATAGTCGAGCACGGTTTGGATGAGTTTCTCCAGCCGCTTCGCAGACTTGACGGACTCGCTCGCCGCAGACTAGTCTCTCTCTCTCTCTCTCTCTCTCTCTCTCTCTCTCTCTCTCTCTCTCTCTCTGCACTCAAGGGGCGTTCCGCATGGGTGCGAGAGAGACAGAGCGACGAAAACGACTCTCGGCATCAGTCTGCAGGCGTTGGCCCTGCAGTCCGTCGATACCCCACGCACGGGATGCCTCCTGACGCACGGCGATAAAAGTCACTCGGGCGGGGTGCATCGTCGGCTCGCTTCATTTCACCCACTGACTGTGGTAGTCCGTCTATCATCCGCGCGCTCGGCAGATGCAAAGAAAGCGGCCCAATAAGTTGTAAGCGAATTGTTATCATGTGAAGTCAATGGGCAGTGGCGGATCCAGAGACGGTCTTTGGGTGGAGCAAAGTCGCACTTTTTGCCTACAAGGTGAAAACGGTTCCTGGTTTTCCCAGGAACCCCCTGGAAATCGCCTATGTCTTCGCCATAGGGCTCCTGGCAAAACCAGGTATCGTTTTTACCCTGTACTCACAGGGGCTCTTTGCCTACTCTCCAGGCAGTTGTGTCTAGGTGCTATTGGAGGGGTTAAAACCCCTTCGCCCCTCCACTGTATCCGCACCTGTCACTGGGCGACGCTTATCTCATCATTGGTCGATTTTGTGACCGAATTCCAAGGTTTGGCACTCGTGTCGCCGTTTACGCCATTCGGCCACTGGGATGGCAAAGTTGGGGACGGCCGGGCCGTCTGCTGTGCTGCACCGCACAGGAAGGGCAGAGAAAGAGAGAGGGGGGGGAGAAGATGGGGTAAGGATGGGGTGGGAGGAGAGAGCAAGGACCTTGATTACGTGGCTGCCTGCCGCGGAGGTCCTTGGGCCGCGCCATGCCATGCCTTGCCTCCTTCCCGCACCATTCATTCGTCGGTTCATTCATTCATGAAAACCGAAGTGGAAAAGGAACTGTGGAATGCCAGAGGGTAATTTGGGCTGCAGGATCGATACGCCTGGCTTGGCCTGGCCGGGGCTGCTTTGGCCAGGCCAAGGGCCAGCTCGGCCGGCCGGGCCAGGACCCAAATTGAGCCCCAATTGGTCGTGCCTAGACGCCGTCTGCCCGGCGCACAGTGGGCCAGAACACCGGTGGAGGCGGCCGAAATCCCAGACGCGTTTTGAGCTCCAGAGTCGCTAAATGGGACTCGAACCAAACGAGTGACCCCACCAATGGATTGCTCTCCGAACGAGGAATCCATTGGTGGGGTCACATGTTCGGTTCGAGTCCTGTTTATGGACTCTGGAGCTCAAAACGCGGCTAGAGTTTCGACCGTCTCCACCGGTGTTCTGGCCCACTGTGCGGTGTTGCCCGCGTCAGCCCGGCCAGTGTTTTCGGCTTGATTTTTGGTTGGGCCCGACCTCCCTGCCATCGCCACGCAGATGGCAGCGCCCCTGGTGACCGCTGGGCGAAGCGGCGCAGCCGAGGAAGCTCTCGGTGCATCCATCGTGCAATCGTGCAACAGCGAGCCGTGGTGGCGTCATTCGCCAAGGAATGCGTTCAGCGCAGCCGCACTGCTAAAAACGGGGAAATGAATTATTTTCCCCCCTTTTTGTGGTCGGTATTGATGCAATGCCGATTGTCAGACAACGCGACCGAAGCTAAAGGATCGTGTCGATTCCGTTTTGCTTTTTATTTTCCCAACTTCGCGCCGCGTCCCCGCCGAAGCGTCCTGATGGCTTCTTGGCCCCTGTGGGGGTAATGGGCGCATGCCGCTGGGACGCACAGTGGGCCAGAAGACCGGTGGAGGCGGTCAAAATCCCGGACGCGCTCTGAGTTCCAGAGTCGCTGAATAGGAACGTGTGACCCCACCAATGGATTGCTCTCCGAACGAGGAATCCATTGGTGGGGTCACACGCTCGATTCGAGTCCTGTTTAGCGACTCTGAAGCTCTAAACGCGTCTGGAGTTTTGGCCGTGCGCCGGCCGTCTGGCCCACTGTGTGTCGCCGAGGTGGCGGCGTCCTCGCCTACTCGTCCGCTGCATGTCCAAGTACGCCAAGTCCGCGTTTGATAATTATGGAGCGGATGGAGGGAATGCAGGCAAGACGGTCAGGGCCCTGCAAGGACCAGCCGGCCATTCATGGACCCATTCGCGTGCTGCCTGCCCGCCTGCCTGCCTGCAGACTCACTCCGAGAGTCGTTTTCGTCGCTGTCTCTCTCGCACATGTACGGGACGCCCCTCGAGTGGGAGAGAGACAGAGCGACGAGAACGACTCTCGGAATCAGTCTGCTGCCCGCCCGCCCGCGGGCCCCGAGGAAGATCAGAGAGTGAGAGAGAAGGAGGGGGCTTTGCATATTGTGCTGCATTATATGACCATACAGGGTGGGGCACGATGTGGCACCCGCATACAGGGTGCGGCGCTTCGCAAGGATAGTGCTATCCTTTACACGCTGCGCGCACTGAGCTCTGTACAGCCGCACGTACCTACGCCGTAGTACTCTGCCACCAAAAAAAACTGCCCCGCATTTTCTCCCATTTTCGAGCAGTGGGCGCGCGGCAGCGTTCTCTCGCCGTTTTTCCGCGCAGTGCACGGAGCTGTTGCACTACACTAATGAGATTTTAACGACGAGCGGAAGTGAAGCAATCAGTTGTCGCAATTTTCGCGCGGATAGGGAGAAGGAAGAGGAGGAGGAAGAAAGAGAGAGACGGAGGGAAAGAATTTCACACCGCAGTCCGTGCGGCCGGGCCGGGCTCTTGGCCGGGCTCCGTGCGTACCGAGCACAGCGGAGCACGGCACTGTGGAAACGCATTTGCCGGTGCAGCGGACGCCAGGACTCCAGCCTAGCATTACTACTTCCAGTGTCTCTGTGCTTAAAAGTGCTGCATTGTTTTCCTCCTTCTGCTCGCCGCTTTTGAGGCCGCGGACCGACCGCACTTTTCTCTGCGGGTTGGACGTCGCCGTCGCACCCACTGTGTAGTTTTCGTCCCGAGTCCTGCTCCAGATCGCCAACCACACCACTATGCTGCTGCCCCCCAACCCGCCCCGCACTTCTCGTAAGCAGCACAACAAGTCCCAAATTACGAGTTGAGGAAATGGTGTTTGGAAGTCGTAAGACCCATCCTGCCTCCACACCAATGTGGCTCACACACACACACACACACACACACACACACGCTGAGAGGTCCGCGCGCACCGTGGCGCTGCCCGCTGCTCCTACATGTAGACCACAAACGCGTGCAGCCGCGGTCGCCGTCGGACAACAAGCAAGCCAGCAGGCGAGCAAGCAGCCGGTGTGTTAGTGAAACATCATCACCCGGACTGCCGGACTCGAACCGCGCTACGCTACGCGTTTCCCGTCTCGCTCGCACCTCGGAAGGCTCATTCCGAGCACTGCTTTCGTCGCTCTGTCTCTCTCGCACTCGCGGGGCGTTCCGCAGGCGTGCGAGAGAGACAGGGCGACGAATCGGGCTGCGGCGAAACCACGGTGAAACCACACACCGGGCAGGCCAGGCCACGGCCAGGCCAAGCTGGCTGTAATCGTCTCGGAAGGGAAACCAATCAAACCGTCGATTCGGCCATTCGGCGGCCGGCCGGCCTATGTCGCCATTCCACAGTGGGCCAGAAGACCGGCGGAGGCGGCCAAAACTGAAGACGCGTTTCGAGCTCCAGAGTCGCTAAATGGGACTCGAACCGAACGTGTGACCCCACCAATGGATTGCTCTCCGAACGAGGAATCCATTGATGGGGTCACACGTTCGGTTCGAGTCCTGTTTAGCGACTCTGGAGCTCAAAACGCGTCTAGAGTTTTGGCCTCCTCCGCCGGTCATCTGGCCCACTGTGCGTTCCCTGGGCAACCGATAGGCTGGCTCGACAAGGCGGCCCCGGGTCCGCAACCCTTCTAACCCGCTTTCTTCTCTTTTGTTGCAGATCGCGCACAAGGGTGGATCCTGTTGACCTTTGACGGCCGCCTCGGCGCCACCTCACACCCCCTTGAGCCTCGCCCTTGCAGTGGCGCGGCAAGCCCAGCGCCGCCACCCTCGCCGAGGCCTAATTAAGTAAACTGTGCAAGTGTGTTTTGTCACGAGAAGGGCGGGAGGGGAGGGGGCGGCGCCCGCCGCCGGGGGGCGGAGGGGAGGGGTGGATATTCGTAACGGACAACGGGCCATGCCGGCGGGCTGGTGGAGCTGGCGGCGGCGTCGCCCGTCCCGCCATGAGGGACCTCCACACGTACTCGGCAGGTGGCCCCCTTCCCGCCAGAGGGGGGGGGGGAGCAGGGAGTACCGGCGGTTCGCTGCCCAGGTAGCAGTGTAGCAGTCGATGCTCGTAGAAGCGGCTTGACGGCCTGGGTTGTCATAGCGCCGCCCGCCGCCCAACTGCTGCCCTGGTTAGTGTAGTTATTATAGTGAGAGGGAGAGGGGGGAGAAAAATAGAAAAAGTTGCTCCTTCCGGTAGTCGAACCCGGGACGCGACGGGCCGCGCGTGGCGGGTCGAAGCAGATCCCCTGGGAACGGATCTGGGCTTCGTGCCCCTCGTGCTCCTCGTGGCGCATGCGAAGCGGCGAAGCGCGCGGCATGCAAAGGCCGGGCCGCCGCTATGAGTCCGGAGTCCCCGGCCAAGGCTTGGGTTTGATCCCATCTTATTTGTGCCTGGCCGGGCTGGCCTATCGCCTGGCCGTGCCATTGCATGACTAGGTGTTGTTGGGAAGAACCAGACCGACCCCAGGGCGACCGCGGCGGCCGCGGCCACGACAGCGCCTCGCCGGCCTCGCCTCTCGACGCGGTCCTCGTGCCGCCTTGCGCCGTTCGCGAATCGGGTGGCGTTGCGTTCCGCATCCCGTGCTACAGTGGGCCAGAAGACCGGTGTAGGCGGCCAAAACTCTAGACGCGTTTTGAGCTCTACAGTCGCTGAACAGGCCTCGAACCGAACGTGTGACCCCACCAATGGATTCCTCGTTCGGAGAGCAATCCATTGGTGGGGGTCACTCGTTCGGTTCGATTCCCATCTAGCGACTCGAGAGCTCAAAGCGCGTCTAGAGTTTTGACCGCCTCCACCGGTCTTCTGGCCCACTGTGCTCTCTGCTTTTGCCGCGGCTAACGACCCTCCACCTCCACGGCCTGCAGGACGGCGGGCACGCGGGGACGGCGCCGCGAATGGCGGACACTGGCGGAGACGCCCCAGGGCGCGGCTAGGCGCGGCGGCGCAGGGCCCCGTCCAAATATCATAGCGGCGCGACATTTCCGTGACATTCAGGCGCCCTTCCCCGCGGCTTGCGGCCCTCTTGCCTGCCGGTGCGGCCCGTCGTCGTTGGCAGTGTGGTTGGCGTTGCACGTCGGGAGACGCGTTACGGCGTTACTCGGCAGCGCCGAGCCGAGCCCGGCCGCGAAGGTCCGCGAAGCTCCGCGAAGCTCCGCGAAGCGGCGCGCTGGGAGTCTGAAAAGACTGATGTTAGTAGTAGTACAGCATGCCGGCCGCGCGGCCCCGCGCCACACGCCGACTACGCCGTCGGAAAAAAGACGAAGCCGAAACGGAAAAAAATGTTGAAATTTGACATTTGGCTCCCGTGGTGGGGCGGGTCGCCCTTGCCTGCCACCCCTGACAGCCAGTCTGTTTGCCCCGCCCGCCTCCACCCTGGCCGTGGGTGCCGCCGCCACCCCCGCCCCACCCCCGCGCCGCCACCCCGTCGGCACCTTCCCCACCTGCCCGGGCGGCGGGGCGGAGGGGCGGCGGCCACCCCTCCAGCGCATGGCACAGGGCGGCAGGGCGAGGCCGGCGAGGCAGGGCAGGAGGCCGCCGTCGCGTCGCAGTGCTGCAGCACTCTGCACCGCTCCGCCCGTCCCGCCGGTTCGCTCCGCGCTCCGCGCCGCGCGAGCGTCGGTCTGTGGCGTCGGCCGGCCTGCAACGGGTACTCGTCGGCCTGCCCCGCGCCCGCTACGCTCCGCGCTCTCCGCGCCGTGCACGTGCGTCGCCGTGACTCACGGGCCAAGGCAGCCGGGCCGCCGGGCCGAGGCAGCAAGTCCAAAGTCATGGGCTGAGCTCCGCGCTCTGCGTCGCTCTGCGTGCCGCGCCGCCGCGGTGCCCGCGGTGCCCCCCGCGAGGCTGGCACGCCGCCCCGCCGCGCCTCTCCGCGCCGCGCTGGTACCGCGTCGACGCGAGTCTGCCTCGGAGCGCACCGCGTACCGCGCTGTCGCCGCAGTGGTCCCCGTCGGCGCGTCCGCCGCCCGAGGATTTTGGCGCGACGCTTGCCGGCGACGTCGCCGTCCTGGGAGTGCTGCAGCTTGTCCTCGCCGGCGAGCTGGCCGCGCCACACGCCCCTCCGCCACGCCCTGCCGCGCTGCCGCCGCGCCGCCGCCGAGCGGAGTTGCGCCGCCGAGTTGTGCTCCAGTGAGTTTCCCGCGCCCGCTGCACGCCGTGCTGCTCCGTGGACTCCGCGTCCCGTCCGGCCGGCAGCAGGGCCGCCGGGCCACGTCGTGCTGGTGCTTCGTGTCCTCACGGCGACGTGCAGCGCAGTGCAGTGGCGTCGTGGACAGCAACAATGTCGGCCGCGGCCGGTCGGGCTGCTCCTCGCCGAGGTGGCCGTCGGGGTGCCGAGTGTGTGTGCCAGTGCGCGCGCGTGTGTGTGTGTGTGCAAAAAGTGCGCGGCACTGCCGCCGTTCATCTTCCTGGAGTACAGTCCGCGTCCGCGCGCAGGGCGCGCGCCAACGTGGCCGTCGACGGCGTGCCAGGTAACGGGCGGCCGGTTCTCTTGGTTTTTGGCAGTGCCGGTACCCGCGGCCCTCTTTTTCCGTTCCGCTCTGCTGGCCGTTGGCGGGGCCGGTGGCGGGGCCGGGGCCGCCGCGGTGTTCGGGCCCGACGGCCGACGGCGCGGTGCCCGGCTGCCCGTCACCCTCCTTGTGATGGCCGAGGCGGCCGAGTCGACGTCGGCGGCCTCACGGCCCTCACGGCACGGATGGATGGTCCCCGAGGAATTGGGCTTGAAGGGGGTGGAAGGGGTGGGGGCGAAAATGCGGGCAGCCAACGGACTAAGCGCGCACGTGTGCGCGGCACCGCGGCACGCACGCGGCGGTAGGGGGTAGATGGGTATCAGGTACCTCCTCGTTGTCTTGCGGCCCCGGGTTCAAATACCGGTTTGTTGTAAGTATTTTTCTTGCCCTAATCAGCGTGTTCCGCGGCGGGTTTTTTTTCTTTCTTTTTATTATTATAAGTTGTCGCTCTGTGTTTCCCGGCTGGCCCCGTGCGACTCGACGGATTCCCACGTTGGCCGTACAGTGTACAGTACTCCGCGCGCCGCCGACAGACCGCCGACGTGCCGCCCCGTTCGGCCAGGCGCGGGTTCGCGGGTTCGAATCCGCGCGCCCTCGCTGTTTTCGTTTTTTCTCGCCTCGCTTCTCTTCCTGTCGCCTGCTGCATTTTCGCCCGTTTCTTTGTTCCAAGGGCTGTGGGCGGCAGGACACTGGCAGGGCGGCAGCGGCCGAGGCGGCGGAGGTGTCGGCGCGGCAGGAGGTAGAGTCCTAGTCGGAGGGAGACAGAGACAGGTGCAGTCCGGACGCTTGCCGGCGGCTCGGCGGCGCCCGTTCCAGCTCCGCGTTCCGCGCCACTGCCTGGCCACTGCCTGGCCACTGCCTGCGCGCCGAGCGCAGTCATCGCTCTCGGTTAGTTCCACGTCCTGCAAACGAACTTCCCCTCTCCCCTTTTCTGTTGTCCGTGAATTTCGGCGGCGGCCCGATAAATGAATGAAGGGCTGGCAGGGCCACTGGCAGGGCGTCTTCGGATCGGAAGTCCCGCCGCCGCGATCAGTCACTGTCAGTCCGAGGGAGGGGGCGGGGTGCTGCGCGCGGGGGTGTGGGTTCGAGTCCCAGCCGCGGCGTGGGCGTTTGAACACGTAGCCGAGCAGAGCCCTTGCAGAGCATGCCTGAAGGTGCAACTTTTTTGCGTCGCCTCCCCGTCCGTAGGCCGCAGGGCTGGGCCGTTGGCCGGGCCGTTTCGGCCCCCTCCCCGCTTGCTTGCTTTCGACAATGAGAGGCGGATAGTGTACACTGTACACGGGGCTGGACTGGCCCACTGTGTGGCCGGACGTCGGTCGATAGGATCGCCAAACGAGCGGATGTGCCGGACGCGTGCACGGCACGCCGCGGGCACGCCGACCACACAGTGGGCCAGAAGACCGGTGAGGCGGCCAAAATCCTGGACGCGTTTTGAGCTCCAGAGTCGGAAAAGGGGCCTCGAACTGACCGGGTGCGACCCCTCCAACGGATTGCTGCCCGAACGAGGAGTCCATTGGTGGAGGTCACATGGTCGGTTCGAGCCCTGTTTAGCGACTCTGGAGCTCAAAACGCGTCTCGACTTTTGGCCGCCTGCGCCGGTCCTCTAGCCCACAGTGCGCCGCCGAGCAGAGCGCGGAGCGCGGAGCGCACCACGTGTTCCTCGCTGCAAACCGTCTGCGCGACAAGCCCCGAAAGCGACAAGCTGCAATTTGCCCGTGATTCTTCTCTTTTCATTCGGCCTCGATGTGACACTCGAGTGAGTGACACTAGCCGCGCCGCGCCCCGCTGCTTGACGCGTCTGCCTCGCCCCGCCGGCCGCCCGGCGCACAGTGGGCCAGAAGACCGGTCATCGTCATCAGCGCTGGTGGAGGCGGCCAAAACTCTAGACGCGTTTTGAGCTCCAGAGTCGCTAAATGGGCCTCGAACCGAACGTGTGACCTCACCAATGGATTGCTCTCCGAACGAGGAATCCATTGGTGGGGTCACACGTTCGGTTCGAGCCCTGTTAAGCGACTCTGGAGCTCAAAATGCGTCTAGAGTTTTGGCCGCCTCCACCGGTCCTCTGGCCCACTGAGCGGCGCCTGCGTGGCCGCGCGGGCCTGCCCGGCCGTTTGAAGCGCGCGCGTGTGGTGCGGGACTGCCTACACGCAAGGGGGCGTGGCCTCCAGTCTCCCGCCATGGCGTGCGGCACGCGGCACGCGCGTCAGATTCCATCCCTCTCGCACACGCTGCTGCGCCCGAAAGAAGGCGAACCGGAAAAAGAAATGCCGTGTTTGAACCCGGGGCCTGTCCGGGAGTCAATCTTTTTTGTGCGAGGCTGGCCGTTTGACTGTAGCTGTGCTTCCTGTTTTGCAGGTGGCGTTCCCTTGGCTTCAAACAATACACCAGCGATTTCGACGGGGCTCACCGCTCCAACAATCCGGCGTCGGCGGCCCACCTGCCTGGCCCACCAGGCAGAGGACTCAGATCGCCGCAGACTCGACTCCCGGCCGTGCCCGGCCGCTCCGGGTCGTCGTCGAAAGGTTTAGTTGTGAGTCTTGGCACTGGAAGAATTCACAGATCGATTTGAGTCGTGGAGTCTGCGGTGCCAAAGCCCACGACTGCCTTGCAACGTTCTCCGCACCACGCCGTCCGCCCCGCCCCGAGCAGCTCGTCCACGTCGGTAAGGGCCTACTTGTTCTCCTGGGAGACGAAGACAGAAGACTGGTCTTCCCTTTGGCTTCATACAAGGAAACAATAAACATTGACGACATTGCCGCTGTGTCCCGTGTTCCTGCCTGATCGGCAAGGTCGATCGACATGGAGCCTTCAAGGTCTAGGTGGGGTCCCTTCGACTATTAAAAAAAAAAAATAAAGAAAAATTCTTTTTTGTGGTGTAGATATTGGTGTAGACTTTATTTAGATTCAAAACTTAGTGATTTGGATTGAAATGTAGATTTCGTAGCTCTGGTTGGTGTAATTTGTGTGGTCAGTGTGTTGTGGCTTTCCAAAGTTGGCAATGTACCAAAACCCTTTTGAGATGCAAGTAGTGGCAATCCTGATGCTCTCCTAGCAGAAGCTTTTTCTGTCCCACGATTGTAACAACAATGTTGAAATTGTTCAGACCGTTTACGGTTTTCACGGTAAAGTGGCACTTAAACTTGAATTAAAGTAGATGTTTTTGTTTCCAATCTATGCTTTGTTCCACAATGTGTGTGAGTGTGTGTTCTTAGGGTGCAAGTTATTCTAATCTTTGCATAGTCGAGGTTATGGTTGTTTGTGTACTTAATGCTTCTTGTGTCCTGCAGGTGTAGAGGTGAAAGCCAAGATTGCTGGGAATATTCACAATGCAGTCTCGACGCAGCCAAAGCTACAACCAACTACATGCCCGCTCTCGTCCACATAACCCATCTGTGAGGGAAATTATTCGAGATGGGTGGTTTTTTACATCTGTAGGGATTGTCCTCTATTTTAGTGGAATATACTTGACAGTGTGGAATGAGGTTTGTGTATTTACTGTTCTGCTCTTATCCACTTTACCCTCTTGAATGTCCGAGGATGTATGTTATTTTGTCAATCTATTTCAGGGACGGGCAGTGAGTACAAGTAAAGCACTTGATTCGTCTCTGGCATCTGTTGTAGTTTTGACTCCAAACTCCCAGCCCCTTCCAGAAAATGGTGGTCGCTTGGTCCATTTAGTTGGGGAGATATCAGTGGGGGAGCCACTCACTGAAATGGATTATGGAGTAGCAGTTCAAGCAGTAAAATTGAAACGCAGGGTGCAAATGTTTCAATGGGTTGAGGAAGAATCTCTAGTGTAAGAAAACACTTTAAATGCGTGCTTGTGGTATTGCCTAAATATTAGGTACTTGACATAGTTTCTTTGTATCAGCAGTGATTTACCTGACGGTGATGCCCTGCGTACAGATGTGAATTATTATTACACAACTGAGTGGAGAGATAAACTTATAGATAGTTCCCAGTTTGCACGCCAAATGAGCCATCAAAACCCGAGGTAGTGCCTACAAATCTATATCCTCTGCAGATATTTATTCTTAAATAATTTACTTATTATTTTGTTGTATTTTGCCTTTGTGATTTGCAGAGAATTTCCTCTCAAGAGTACAGTTTATGTAAATGAAGTAGTCACAGTAGGTGGATTTAACTTGGGGCCAGAACTGAAAGCTAAATTCAATGACTTTGTGCCAATAACCAGTGACGAACGCCCTGAACAGCGTGACATAAAATTACATGCTGGTTTGTACTACCACTGCAGAGATGTGTGGGAGCCTGAAGTTGGAGATATTCGCATACAATTTTCTTATGCAGGACATGCTGGCTTTCCAGTAAGCTTATTGTGCTTTTCAAGCATGATTATTATTTAAATCATGGAAAACTTCGCATTCCATGAAGATGTCTTTGGAAGTATGAAAAGAGTGTGTGTAATTTAACTGGTTATTATTTTTAGGTAACAGTTGTTGGAATGCAAGTGGGCAATGAGATAAGGGCATATCCTATGGCTCCAGGAGTGGACATCATCATTGTCCGCCAAGGTCGGCTTACAGCAGAGGAAATATTCTGGCTTGAGCATGTTAACAACCGCTGGCTAACATGGGCTCTTCGAGGTGCTGGCTGGTTTGTTTCCTTTTTAGGATGTACATGTCTTTATGGAATCTTAAGTGCTCTTGGTGAGTAAGATTCTCAAAAACATCTATTTTGAAACAAAGAAAATATTGAAAGGATCTTTTATTTTGATGTGTTATTTTCAGTTCAACGCAACTCTTTTGCTCGTGATCTCCTTGCTGGAGGCTCTGGTTCTATCAGTATGACAATGTCAAGCACGAGTTGTTTGGCTGCTGTTGCCCTCTCTTGGCTTTGGTACAGACCATATTTAGCTGGTGGCCTTCTGTTATCAGCAGCACTTCCTTTTGTCTGGGGAGGAATACGTCATAGCAATTGGAATTCTGCCGATGAACGAAATCCAAACCCTGCAAGACCAGATTCATACCGTAGGCTACCAGACTGAGCACGGTTACACACGCTCGGGAACTTACACTTTCAAGAAGATTGCACTGAGATGGTATACCAGACTAATCAACCAAAACTACTGAAGACAAAATTAAAGAGAGTTGAAGAGTATGTAAATTCACAGGACCCTCATCAGGTGCCTGATGTAGCAGACTTATCTGAAAATACTGGAGAAGGCACCTGTGACCTGTGTGAAACAGCTTGTTAAGTTATCATTGGATTGGATGCAGTAGAAAAATGTTTTATGTGTTGTGAAACAAAAGAATGAGATTTTATAAATTGTTAATTTTCAAAGTTTATTGTTGTCAAAGGTTCATCAGTATTGTTATGACTATGAAAAGTTTCTTATCAGATAAGTAATAATATCATCAGTATTAAAGGCCTGCCCTGGTGTAGGCTGAGGGCTTTTAGATGAGCTTGCTCTAATTCCAATAATTCAACATCCATTGCTAAACCTCTGTCATCACTCATGATTCAAAATTATTTTTCTACTGGTTTATTGTATACTATTTCAAATTAACTTCATTTCATCATGGCTGCATTCTTCTATTGAACGTCACTAGTCATTTAATGTGATAAAAAAATCTGATTATATAGAATAGTAGATTAATCTCAGTGGTACAAGAAAGTGTGGTGCATCGTAGCGTGTGTTAAAAGACTTTCCTACATTGCCACTTAACTGGCTCAAATTGTGTGTTGTGAAATCTATGACAAAAATATGGTCTTTCTTCTTTCCCCATGCCCAGTGCTGGGCCAATGTGTGTGTGGTTTCTGTGTCAAGATTTGTCCTTACAATATCCATCTATTGATCCACTGTTTAGGCTCGAGTGATCATAAAAACAGGATGGAACTTATGTAATTCAAAATTGTAAAATTTGCCTGAACTTGATGCTGCTTCCCAGGCTGACAACCCATGTAACTTAGTTTTCACAAGCCCTAGGGTCATACTTGTTTTCCTGCTCACTAAAACACACTAAAACGAAGCACCTCATTTAGAATATAATCCATTGCACTGCACCTCCTTGTTATACTGTGGTTATTTTGTACTTCATATTTTATAAAGTTTTGTAAGTCTTTATCAACGTGCTCATTGTTCTCAGTCTAGTAGATATAAGCTTTTTGTGCAGTGAATGCTGTAGGTGTTTTTTTGATGTTTTTTTTTTTAAAGAGATTTGGTATTGTTTACTTGTGAGGTGTACAGTATTTTCCCCCGTAGTTTTATTGGATTGAGCACTAATTTATTATTTTTCACTCATTTCAATCCATTTAATGCCTGACTTTGTAGAGGTGTGTACCCATATGTATAACTTTAGGATTATCACAAGGAAATGACAGCTTAAGATACTTAAATTAGCTTTTAATAAGAATATATTATATTATTATTATTATTATTAACAGAGTTGGCATGAACAATTCATTTTTTCTTTTCCAAATGGTAACTCGAATTAAGTTAAAAGGAAAGACAAAGACAAACTAGTAAATCCTATGACAATTCTTATATTCCTAAAAAGAAAGGCTGAGGCCATTTATTATCATACCATGTTTACTATGTAGCTGTAAAGGGACCCCAAAGAGTTTCAAGTGATCCTTAGATAGCCGCCTGAAAGGTAGGCAAAAAGCACTTCATTGCCCCTGTAAGTAGGCAAAAAGTGCTACTTTGACCCCCCCCCTTGGGCCAACTCTGGATCCGCCACTGAAGAGTTTTTGATTTGGATACTCAAGAAGGGAAGGTTCGACTCTTGCCAGTAGATGCGAGAGAGAGAGAGATTTGAATTGGTACAACAAACCACATTGACCTCTGGTTCGCTTGTGTTGGTACAAGGTGGGTCAGAAACCCCGCCTGGGAGGAGCAGTAGGACTGTATACCTGTCATTTTGTCACAGGGTTTCTGGCCCACCTGGTACAATGTTTTCTTTTTATTCTGATTATTTTTCTGAAGAGATCACAGTCATGGCCCAGCCTTCTGGTTCTTGGACACATTGTAACCATTTATCTCTAAACAACAATGAGCCAGAATTCAATAGCACAAAGTTTGTTATGAGCACCATTAGTAGATACTACATATTTTTAAGTGATTGAAATTTAATAAAGATATCATGAGGAAAATTGGCCATGCATTTTGTAATGCATCTAGCATACAGAAGTTACAATATTTTTCCAAGACAGTCAAGGTAGCCTTCACTTATGAACCATTTAAATGATAACACATAATTTTTGGGAACAAAAACCAGCAATTCTTGAGAGAAAGTCTACAAGCACTCAATGGTGGTGAAAGTAAGAACAGTTTAGTGGCACAGGCATTAGTTAGGACATGTCAAAAATTTTGGTCAAAGCCACCAGTTGTTCAATCATGATCCAATTTGACTTTGATGAGTCAAAGAGCTCGGAACAGAAGAAGAAAACATCAAAGAGAGATAGTGAGAACGAGTGAAAGGATTGCATAAAACATTCAAATAGGGGATTTATCACAAAATGCAAAAAAAAAGGGAGGGAGGGAAGGACTAGTACTATGACATATATCAGAAGTAATTCACAAATTTAAATACAGTACAGTTCATTAGACAAGGCAAGAAACATTAATAACTCTTCTCTTCAGTCACTACCCCATTGTGAAGTTCAGTTACATTTCATTCGGTACCTTTCAACTAATGACACCAACTAACTCTTCAAAGACTTCAGCCAAAAGGTAAGCATGGGTTCTGAACACATCTGCACCACATGACATTACTTCCTTAGGATTGGCTTTGATGTAACGAATGGCAGCCCTCCGCAATTCATCACATTGATGACTGTTAGCCAATTCAAGGTATATGAATACATTGTCAACCTTAATTTGATTAACCAGAGTTCTTTCACACATATCTTTCAAGTCCGGAAGACAGTACTTATCAGCAGCTGGAAGCAAATCATAAGCCATGTCATGTAAACGATCAACTCTACAACTGTATAGAAACCGCAATAATTCTTTCACTGCCTCTTTCTTAATATCTGAAATCCTAACGTGACCACTTATTTGCTCAGACATGCCACTGTCAAACATGGCAGCAAAGACTGGGCTCCTGGCCGACAGTACAGCCTTGTGCGCAGGTATTCTTTCATCCTCCACCTGCAAGAAAATAAGTTAAAAATATTATTATGTAGTAATTTGTACACAAGAAAAGACAGGAAGTCAAACTAAACCATACCTCTAAAATGACATCACTACTTTTGCTGTTATAGAGCTCTTTTTCAAAATCTGTTGCCATATTATGAAGTAACACATTTTTGTTAATGGGAGCTACCAATTCTTCCACCACAGTTACATAACAGAAAAAAGTGAGGGAACTATCAGGAATATTTTCAGCCTTCTTTTTGGATATCAGAGACAAATGAAGATTTGTTCCGAATTGAACTGTTTCCCCGCCTTCCATCCTAAGGGGTGGTTGAGCTGACCAGTCTTCTTTTACTTCATGAATAGAATTATGAAATCCCTTTCGGTCTATATAGCAAACCTGAAACAATATGTTGCAGTAGTACAAGTGTATGAACTGGGAACAAGTTTCATAATAAATTATGCTTTACCTTGCCTGGACATCTGTAATGTACAGTTACAGACGTGCTGACCACTTCCTGGTTACTAAACACGTGGTATTTTAAATGAAATCTACATTCTACACCTTCGCCAAGGCTGAAACTTGGAGAATCAACAGGATTTGAAATGGGATACAGAAAGTTGTGCACTGTCCATTCGATAAAGTAAGGTGACGCTTGAGTGCGTGTTTCAGCAAAAATCAAATATGGCTCACTTGTAGCAGCCATCTGAAAACCCCAAGAGAATTCGATGTTTAAATTTGTACATAGAAACTACTTAGCAAAACTAAAATATCGACAAAGTGACGACTTACCTGATGGCTTCGATACCACTTTCAGAACTCTAATTGAAAGTGCTGATGGCAAAATCAGAAATGCCTGACGTTGAGTGCCTCATGGAGACATGCCAGGGTTGGATCATTCATAAGCAGGAATCATAACCTTGTGATAAGAGAAAGAAAAAAATCAAGGTAGGCCCTCAAAACTTTAAAATTCCGACACCAGTCGTACTACAGTAAATGTTTGGCCATGAAATCTATGACAACGAAGACCGAGCAATGAAAGGTCCGAACAAAAATACGATGTAAACTAATCAAAGATGTGTCAATAAAGTTTTCACTTGAATAGCAGAAGATGATTATCAAATACAAAACAAAAACAAATGAATGAAAACACGCTGTAAATAACAATCAATAGTATTGTACCCGTGGTGCAGCATTGGTTTTCGCTGGTAATAAGATACAGTTGGAATAAGATTCACCAGAAATCAATGAAATAATTTCGGAAGACCTTTAGGAAAAGTATCGTTTGAAATGTTTTGTCTCCTCTGTCATCCATCATGTTGCCGGCCTGAGACTTATTGGCAGAACCGGAACCGGAAGAGTGGTCACCGGCATGTGAGAAAGAGAAGGAGCGAGCGAGAGAGAGACAGAGCGAATACTCCGCATCCCTCCGTTCCGTTCACGTGCAGACTGTTGTTGACTTCTGATCCATCAGGTATGACAGAAATTCGGGTTGTTTTGAAGCCTAACGTGCATACGACGCTGTCTTTGCGGCTTGTGCGCCTATTTCTCGAGCTGCGACGTGAAGTGCGAAGCCGTCGCGGACAACGTGGCTTTTCTCGTGATCATAACCTTGTAGATGAGTAGGCCTTCAACGTTTGGCAGGCCACATGCGAAGCCTGCGCGCGCTTTGACTGCCTTTGCCGCCGTCGCCCCGCCTGGATTTTAGATTCTTAATTTGTCTGGGGACTCCTACCCACGAGTTTCTGTTCAGTTCGAGAGACTGTCGCTTACAGGATCGCGGGCACTGTTGCGTCAGTTAGAATTACCACCCTGGGCGCCTGGGCTAATGTCAACAAGTTAGTGTCATTTTGAATGAATTTTTGTTGTTTCCTGCAGGATGGGTGAACCCACTGTTGAAGTGAAGCAGGAAGCTGCAGTTGAGGCCAAGAAGGTGAAGCTGGAAGCTGAGAGCGAGGATGCTCCTGATGCCAAGAAAATGAAAATCGAACCTGTGGAAGCGGATGGCAACGGTGCTGCGGTGACTCAGAAAACTAAGAGTGAACCTTCAGAAGATGCTCCAGATGCGAAGAAAATTAAGCTAGAATCCACAGAAGCTGACAGCAATGGCACTGCCAAGACAGAAAATGGTGCCCAGTCGGAAACAGCTGAGGATAGAGGTGATCCTGATTTAAAACGGCTTCTTGTTCGCCAAGTAGAGGTGAGTTGGTTTCAATTGGCTTGCTGTGTATTATTCTGTTGCAATATTTGCTGGAGGCTTTTCATCTGCAAGCTTTTAATTTACTTGGTTTTGATTGACTTCCTTTTGTTTTTGCAGTACTATTTTGGAGACATTAATCTGCCTAGAGACAAGTTCCTTCAAGAGCAGTTGAAGCTGGAGGATGGATGGGTACCCTTGGATGTTATGCTGCGCTTCCAACGTCTTGCTCAACTAACGAGAAACCCCTCTACAATTGTTTCCTGCTTGAAAAGTGACAGTACCTTGATGGAAGTAAGTATTCAAAGTCATTGCATTTCTTTTTTTCCAATGCCACATCTATGTAACAATTGTTTTTATTATTATTATTATTTTTAGGTTAGTGAAGATGGAACTAAAATCAGACGGTCACCCAGTCACCCATTACCTGAGATGAATGAAGAATGGCAGAAAGCTCGAAATGACCGCACTGTTTACTGCAAAGGCTTCTCTACAACAGCATATGATTTAAACGAGTACTTAAAGTTCTTTGACACTTATGGACCTGTTGAAAATGTTCATGTGAGTAGCAATCACTTTGCCATTGTTTTACCCCATTTTCTGTCATCTTTAATGCAACTAGGGCATTCTTATTTTTCAGCTTCGGAAGTACCTTGACAGGGCTACAAAGAAGTCCATGTTCAAAGGTTCTGTGTATGTTTTGTTCGAAACTAAAGAGCTTGCAGAGAAGTTTCTTGCTTTAGATTCTGTTGTGTTTGAAGGAAAGGAATTAATTCGTATGACTTAGTAAGTACTCTCTCATTACTCAGTACCCTTACTATGTAAGTTTGGAGATGTTCTCAAATATTGTTTTGTTTTAGTGCTGCACACAATGAAGAAAAGAAGAAGGAAAAGGATGAGAGATGGGGAAAGAAAGTAAAGAAAGATGGTGCCGCATCTGAAGAGAAAGCAAAGCCCAAGAAGGAATTTGCCAAAGGGTGTATTTTGAAAATTAATGGTATAACTGATGAAGAATTAACAAGAGAAGTTATTAAGTCAACACTTGTTGAATTAGGAGCTGATGTTGCTTTCATTCAGTATGCAAAGGGAGATAAAGAAGCACTTGTGCGATTGCAAAGTTTAGAAGATGGCGCTGCAAGTGAGGTGAGCCTTCCTTTCACCTGTCCACCTGTCTTAATTAATAATTTAGAAACTAATATTACTTTAATGCTTTTTTTAAAATTTCAGTTTGTCAAGAAATTGAATGATGAGGAGAAGAAGGTTAAATTTGGTGATGAGGAAATGGAACTGAGTGCTGTTGAAGGAGAAGAAGAGGAAGCATTTTTGCAGAAAACTAGAGAACAGATGGAAAGAAATAACAAAGGTCCCAAGAGAGGAAGGGGCAACAACCGTAAGTGAAAAAATATTTGTGATATATCATACTATTTAGTACTTTCCCTGGCTTACCAGGAAATTTCTGTTGCCAGGTCACCGGGGAGGCCACAGGGGAGGATTTAGGGGCAATAGACGTGGAAGAAATTCAGATTAAATCTTCAAGAACAAATACCGATTCTTCAAATAATATGAATTATTATTATTGACATGATTTTATGGTTTTTTGTGACTAGTGATCTGTTGCTAACAGTAAATAATAAAATCAACTGTCCCTTTTTTTTTTTATTAAATACTTGAATAAACTTTACAAAATCTGAATGACGTACTTTGATTAATGATTAAAAAGGTAGAAAAGTGACGAAGTTCCATTAAAACTGAAATAGAAAATCAATTCATTAAAAATATTGCAAGACAAGTGAATGATGAAATACAAAACAAGATATATTACCCTTTTCAAAAATTCTTCTGCACAAATTCTTGCCCGAGCATTTAATGCCAACTTCATTTCGCTAATTTCCTTGTCTATTTCTTCCATGAAATGAATAACAAAATCCACTAACTTGTGTTTGAACATTTGTTCAGTGTGGAAGTTGGTAATGAGAAAACTGATGTCATATCCCTGAAACACACACTATCTTAAGAAGAGCCACGTGCATTATAGTGCAAGGTTGAAACTGAAAATTTACCTCCACAGGTTTGCGACGTAAAACGATGAAATTTTCTGCTCTCATCATCATGAATCGCATGAATTTGTGGCACAGAATTCGTTCAATTTCATCAGCCTGCTTGACAGATATGCTGACCCGAAGGGAGTTAACAGATGTCTCAATCAGGACCTTTTCTTTTTCATTACGGCTGATAACCACTGGATTTAAGAGCAATTCCTTGTTAGACCTGTAAAGCATGTGTTCAAATTAGATGAATTCAATAACTTTGAGGTAGAACAGTGAAGACATCTGAAAAATGAGCTACCTGACTTCCACCTCAGGTTTATTGTGCCTCTCCACAACTTGAGAGGAAAAGTTATCCAAACACATGGCAGCAGTTAACGTATGCCTCACTGCAGTGAGGTAGGGTCTCAATGTCGAAGACTAGAACACACAGAAAATGATAAATGGTTAGCAATTGAACTAGAAAAATAATAGGCCAGTAGCATAGGACCCTACAAACTACAGCTTTATAATAGAGCAAGAGTCCACATGAAAGTGAGGAGCCAAAATAAGTCATTCAACACCAGTTGTAACATGTATATTTCAGTAAATAATAAGGAGGACAGTTCTTCCGGGCTTAAGTTGCCCCACCCTCAACTCAGGTTATGAAGCCTCTCCTCGTTCCGGGGAGTTAGGCTAGATTACTCGAGTCTAGACTTACCGGAGGGGTTGACACTGCTTTATATGTTTTCAACCGGTGCTAAACAGCCGGGCTTCTGTTTCATTGAACGTCATTTGCTATAAAAGTCAGGAGACGATGTACTTGACAGATGATAAGACCACTTACCATAGCGGCGAGAAGAAACCAGACGAAATATGTGAAAATGTGCTACAGACTGATACTGAAATACATTGGGGGTTCGGCTTTAGTGGAGGCCATGCACCATTAAAGATGAAAATGCAACAAAACTGCTAAAAATTAGAGATTTGTTGACAACTTTCGGTGATGTCAATGAAGCACACACACACACAAACGCACACATACACACACACACACACACGGCTAGCGCCACCAGTGGCGACATGTCGAACTATTTTCTACAAGTAGCCAACATAACTGTACAGTAGACGGAACAAGACGTCTTGATTGACTGTAACTGTGAATTCAGAGCCTAGCTTCATCAAACCACCAATTTGCTTATAATCGTTTTTTCCAGCACGTGTTGATCTAGAGATGCATGTGGGCGAAGATTCGCCGAACGCTGTTGGCTCCTAGCCGTTGGTCAGGCTGTGCAGTAGGAAACGGATCTGAGGCCAACCCAAAGCTGGGTGTTGGAACCCCTATTTTGAACTCGGTGGCCGTTGGGCGTACTTACGGGCGTTTGTCACATGGGGAACCCATCGAAAATGCTTTGTTCTGTCCGAAACCAGGTCTGTACTGGTCGACGATGCAACGGACCTTCTCGTCGAACAGCTTCTTCGTCTCCACGTCCCACCAGTTGGCCAGCAGACCGTTGAGGCCGCCCTGGAAGAGAAGTGAGTCACCGCCTCGGGCCCGAAATGGCATACGATCATGTGTGGTCTAGCCCTTAATGGTAATAGACCTTTCCGGGCTAAGTAACTTGTTCAGTATACTCGGATCTCAGATTCGGTTTATTGCACAAGAAGCTTAGCCCGGAAAGGTCTATGGTAATGGATGGCGAGCCAGCCCCTCGCGCCTCCCTGCACGATGGGTTGCCTGCTTCCAGGCGCGCGGCTCTGGCCAACTGAACTTGAACTTGAGAGGCTGGACCACAAAGGATCGGGAATGCCATTTCGGGCCCTGCATTGACACGATCGCTTCTAGGCGTCCGTTACACTGTCGGGTCGGCGTCCTCTTCGGTGTGCGGAGTCGTGCCAGCAACAGTGGGAGTATTCTACGGAAGCGCTTGGCCGGACTGCAAACTCGCCAAAACAGAACGCGTTTTGCAACCGAAACAGTCCGCGCGATAAGCAGAAACTAGCTGGTTGCTGGCGGAAGAACTGAAAGATGCTGCATGACCCGATTTTCCTCCCGGCTCAGCAGGTGTCAGCGGGTGTCAGTCAGGGCTGGCGGCGAGCGGCACACAGTGGGCCAGAAGCCCGGTGCAGGCGGCCAAAACTCTAGACGCGTTTTGAGCTCCAGAGTCGCTAAACAGGACTCTAACCACACGTGTGACCCCACCAATGGATTCGTCTTTCGGAGAGCAATCCATTGGTGGAGTCACACGTTCGGTATTCGAGTCCCATTCAGCGACGCTGGAGCTCAAAACGCGTCTGAAGTTTTGGCCGCCTCCGCCGGTCTTCTGGCCCACTGTGCGGCGTCTCCGCCGAGTGATTCCGAGCACTCGTTTCGCCGCCCCGTCCCTCTGGCGTCCCCCATGAGTGCGACAGAGACAGAGCGACGACGCGGTCGTCGGACGGCTCGACGGGCGAGAGGCGTTGGTCCAGCGGTGGCGTTATCGTTTCATCGAAGGCGTGCGACACGTCGTGTCCGATGGCGAACCCGGCTGGAAAACATTGTAAACAGTATATTCGGTGGTTTTACCTTCAGACACCGAAGCCAGCGGCGGAGGGAGGCGAAGCCAAGGTAGGCAAAAGGTCGTTCTTTGCCCTGCAAATAGGCAACTTTTGCTACATCGCCACCCTCCCTGAGTCAGCTAGCTTTTCAAGAGGGAACTCTACCTTCTCGTAGAATTTGTCCAGCAGCGTGTCGTTGAGCAGTTCTTGTGGGTAGGCCACGAACGCATCACCTCGGCCTTCATCATGGCAGCGCGCCTTGCGGACGGACGGAAACAAGACAGTCATTCAAAATTGCCACCCAAAACATGAAGGCACTCGAATACACGGCAAAAATACCGTACGAAGTGTTTAGAGCAAAAGTTAAAAACCATTTTCTATGTTACAGTACATAGAGTCATTGTCAGACTCACTGACAATTGTTATTGTTGGGTGAACAAAATTTTTTTTCGTGGAATATGAGCTTGACCCTGTGTGTTGATGCAAAACACTGACCGCGGCCTACGTTTTAAGTTTCTACGCCTGCCGGCATGTGACAATGTGCCGGTGGGCACTAGACGTGGTGTAATCATCACTACTTGGCGCCGGCCCGTCACGCCCTGCCACGCTCTGCCCTGCCACCATTATGGCGGTCTTCTTGACCTCGCCGCCTCGTCACCCTGGCAGCTCTCCGAGTGCAGGACCACTTATTACCCAAAGGGGGTATTCACTCAGGTTTTAGTGGGGCGGGGTATGTAATACCCCTGAAATAGTTGCTGTAATAGGTAATATCTGTGTAATTGCTGTAATATGGTGTATTCCCTGTAATGGCCCCGTAATAGTGTAATAGGATGTAATGATGTTAATAGGGGTAATAATACATAAATCGTTTAAAATGTCAAAAAAGGGGCGTTGTTGGACGGAAATTTTATGAATAGCTGTAATTGTTATGTATTAGCTGTAATTGTTGTGTAATAGCTGAAATTGGTGTGTAATACTGTGTAATTTATGTAATGACTGTATTTGATGTAATAGTCAGAAATTGCTTTCATAGCACTAAAATAGGTCTGTAATCGCGTTTGTATTCGATGTAATCGTCTGTAATTGCTGAATAGTATTGTAATAGGTCTGTAATACCGTAATAGTGAGGTAATACACTAATTGACAGATTAGCTGTAATAGGATGTAATTCATGTAATACTTTTCAAAAGGTATTAGTATGTCGACCACTTTTAAGAGTGAATACCCCCTTGTTATTAGCTTCCTAGCCCCACGCCGTCGTGCGGCTGCAGTGTCCCAGAAAGACGTTCTGCGACGAAAAAATATCATGCAAAACGACTGAAAAATGCATGATTTTTTGCCACGGGGCTTAAAATGGGCTCAGGCTGGGGCTCTGGACATTGGGGCACAGGCACGAGTCAGGGCTCGAGTTGACAGTGTCCCACTGACAGTGCTCCATTTACAGCGAGCTCCACTGAGAGCGTCCACTGATAGGGACCCTCTCTGTGAGAGATGGGACAGAGCTGACGTCACAGGTCCTCGGTGTAAATGGCAAGAAGCTCCCCTTCAGGGCTAGCACCCCGGGCTGGGGGCCATAAACATTCCTCTGCGGATAACCTGATTTGGGGGACCCCTAGTCTCGCACATGGCAGATCTGGTCGGCGTCGGGCCCATTACACCCGAGGTCTGTGATTGGCTGGAGGCCGCCAGCCTGACCTAGCCTGACCCATCTCTCACAGAGAGGGTCCCTACCCACTGACAATGCACTGACAGCGCTCTACTGACAGCGCTGTTCAGCGCTCCATTGACAGTGCTACTTGAAGGGGCCCGCCAAGACGCCAAGGCCTGCAAACTCCCTCAGGTTTCATTTCAGGCGGCTTTGACTGTTAGACGTGCAATCGGGTACTATAGTATAGCTATTTGCGTAATTACAAAGTGACAAATTTTTTGCAGACACCTTCGCATTCGCAGACGTGCGTCGCGATGACTCATGCGGTGCAGCGAAGGCTGCAGCCTACTGCAGCCCCAAAATGTCACTTTCTTTCCGAGAGTCGTGTTCGTGGCGTTGTTTCTTTCGCACCCATGGTGCGTCCCGTAAAGGTGCGAGAGAGATAGGGCGACTCTCCGCCCCCTGGACTCTACCTGCCGCCGTCCCAGTGACACGACAGTGAGTGAGTGTGGGTTTCATTGTCCGCTGGGTCTGCCGCGTCGTCAGTCCCGTTTTGTTCGTCCAGCTGCCCCGGCGATATCCCCCCTCCCCCCTCCCCTCCCCGGTCCACCGCACCCACGCCTCCGACATAGCGTGTCGCCCACATCAATTCTTGGTGTTGTTTCTGGCGACTCGGCGTCGCGAAGCTGGAGCGCAGCGTCCCGTTCCATTCCCCTTCCGCGAGTTGCTCCGGCCGACCGACTAGTCCGCTTGGCCGCGCCCCGCGATACGCGACTCCCTTCGCGAGCTTCAAGTGCTTTGTGCGTCGGGCATCCCGTCAGCGAACGAGCTGTACAGGGTGGCATCTGCTGTCTCGCCTTCGCCTTCGCCGGCACGCGCCGCACGCACACACGCACCAGTCCAGCAGCACCAGCTGCCAGGCGTGCATCCTGCTGCGCCCCGCTCCCCGCTTCAATGAGTCCGTTGCCTAGCAACGGCACAGTACCCGGAATTCTTCATTTCGCTGCCAACCTAGACAGCTAAACAGCCAACTAGATTGGTCCCGCAGCGGTTGTACCTCCTCTTGGAATTGTCGGAGACGTTCGCGAAGCAGTGTCTGCTGTCCTTGCCTCTGATGGTAAATGTTAAGATCAGATCACGCGAGTCCGAAATAAGTCGCCGTTGGAAGAGTTAAGTTTGCTGCTTAACCTTGGCGTGCATTCGGCGTTACGAAAATAATCATGACAATGGACTGATCTCGGCTCGGCTGCTGCGTTAGGGGGTCCGTCCAAGTTTTATTTTTCTACTGTGGTTGAGAACATAAGTCTGCGGCACCAGGCCAGTGGTGCTTATGTCTAAGTTTAGTGCGACGTTTTTTAGTTCATCTTGCTTCGCGAACAGACTGTTCAAAAATGGACAAGGCCAGCAAAGTCTTGAGAAGGTATGTTGCTCAATCATTTTCTTCTGAATAGTGCAATCAGTTGCTCTCACAAACTTTGGTTCGAATTTGTAAATATCTACTTTATTATACCCCTGCACTATCCTTTTAAATTACATCCAGTTAATGTTACACTGAGATGTTCTTTGTTATGTTTTCTCAGCATATTGTTTATCTTTTTTTACCGTTTCATTTTATGCGTCATTTCAGGAGCAGTGTTCGTCTGAGATCTATTGGCAGTGGTCATGGCGAGCTAAATCTGGTGATATCAGAGCTGAAGGATATGAGGACAACGGCCAAAGCATTTCTTAATGCCCAGCATACAGCATCCATGGAACTTTTACAATGGGCACAAGCTGGAGAGAACAGAGCGATCCATGATACCTTTGTTTTTCTAAGCGAACTTAATACCCTTTGGAGTGATACTCAAAAGGACTTTGCTGGTAAGCGTTCAAACACCAAAAAAATTTAAAAAATTGATAGTAAAATTTTGGAGTCTTGGTAATATTTTCACTTAAAATGTGTCCCTAATTTTTTTTTTTAAATAAACATTACTTTTTTTTTTAAGTTGGTGCTAACTTTATACATTTTTTTCAATTCTTTTTCAGAACATTTGAAAGAATTCAAAACCCAGTTTGATTTAATTTTGGAAGGAGAGAAACATGTGGACCAAGCCCGAACTGCTGTTGAACTCTGTGATCAAAGGGAAGGCAAGCTAAAAAAGGAGATGAAGAAAGCTAAAAAATGTACTGCTGAAGAGATGCAAGATTTAGAAAAACGTCTTTATGAAGCAGCTCGTGCTAAAGAAGTAGCTCAATTAGAAGGTAATCAAGGTTCCAATTCCAATTTTTAATGAGCTTTTGGGCCTTGTTTAATCTGATTTTCTCTTATACCTCCTGTAGTGGCAGATCGGTTCCGTGAGAATGAGGCCGTGAAGTTGATAAGGGTAAAGGCAAGTCTTCTCAAACTCTCTGAGTCTTACTTGGAGCTTGCAAACAAATGCAAAGCAATATTTGAAGCATACAGTGATGTTGCTGAACAACTCCCAGATGTTCAGGGGGATGACTTGCAGGACATTCGATATACAGGTAAGCTCTATTGTGTCAGAAAGTTCTGAAATTGTTCTTGCAGAAAAGTGGTTAACTGATTTTTCATAATTTACAGGCTATGAGGTTTCCAAACAAGCTATTACACGTGCGAAGGAAAGTGTTCATCAATACCGTCGTCGCTCACGAAACTTGCTGCCATGTGCCCCACAGCCTGAGGATCCCCCTCCACCTTACTCAATATGCCCTCCATACAACCCATCATTTGCCCCTGGTGGCGCACAACGCCCTTATTATGCTTTGCCCAGCACAAGCTATGATGTTACTGATGGTGGACCCAGCAGTTCAGGCAGAAGTGCAGCTCAAGCTAACATAAGACAGTCCTTATCCAACGGTGCCATATGCAGCTCATCTAGTCAGAGAGCTCAAACGTCGTCCGCGTCTAATATTAATAATAGACCTCGAAGAAGGGGATTTTTCTTCAGAACTTCATTTAGGCGCTCAGATTCTTCTAATAGCCGAAGTCAACAAAGGCCGGAGCCAGTACGCCCTCGCTCAATGCCGGGTCCCTCAAGATCAACTAACCCATTCGATGAGGATGCAGAAAATAGGTGTGTAACACAGCATTCATTTTAAGATTTCAAAACGACTTTTTTTCATCTTGAACAAACAAAGTGACTCTAATGTGAATTTTTTGTTTTCAGTCTGGATAATCAGGCAGGTCACGTGGCACAGAGCAGCAGTTCAGAACGAAGAACAGCTGAGGAAAGTCTTTCAGATTCCTTGGGCCAAACACGGATCAATTGAAAGATATCAGGAGGCGTCTTTGTGGAGCTGTTAAGAAGTGGACCAAATGAACTTTATACATAGTTAAATTTTCTCCATAAATGTACTATGGACTGCTTTCATATCTTTCTGTTGTTTCTTTTTGTTTTCTTTTTTAAACAAATGTTACTTAAGCTATGGGATACTTTCTGTGGGTGGTACATATATTTTTTATATGCATTCTATGCCTTCATTTTGTACATAAAGTATCAGCCATGAGCTGTAAGTTCTTATCAAGTTACCTATGCCATTTTTAAGTTTTCTTCTCATTTTGTATAGAAAATTATTATAAGCTATCATCTTTTATTGCCCTGTTCATTTAATGTCTTGGCTACAATTTGTTCTTATCATTCAAACCATTTGTCACATATTTTCAGATTTTGAATTTTATTGCATGTTTCCAATAGGTTCGATCACTAACATAATTAAGGTATCGTATCTCAAATTTTGACAACCCTGAGAAGGGAGGGAAGGGGAAGGGGAGGGAAGGGCCCATGGCTTTGACATCACTTTTTTTCTTGTGAAAGCTTCTAGTCACTTTCTTATTTTTTTTGTATTTGTAATATATCTATTTCTATTTTGTTTATATTTTATTCATCTACAGTAGATTAGATCTGCTGAGTTGAGAACAAATCATGTATACTCATTTTTTTCTCTCATTTATTGAAGCTACTATCGGATTTAGTTTCTAATGTTGAAACATTTTGTGTCTTCATGTGTCTTGGTGCAGTTGTATGTTTTTAAATGTACAGCACTGATGTCAAGGTATGATAAGACATTACAGTGCTATGCAATTTGCATAGTTCTTCCTGAAATTTGCCCTTCATATTTGGTTGTGCACTTTTTTTGTACTTATATTTCTAAGCTGGAATCAACCCATTCCAACTGCAAGTTATTATTTTTGTAGTATGTGTGACTCATGAGTCTTTCAATTTACAGCAATTGTAATTTTGAAAGATCTGAATGAGAATTTGTTAGGCCCCCTTTCCAATATGTACTGGTGTATTGGTAACCCCCTCTAATAGGTGTTTGACTTGTCAACGACTTGTGAACTGAACTACTTGTAATGTCACTGTAAGTTAGAAGAGCTCAACATAGTGGCTACACATGCTATACATAGCTATACATGCTACAAAGCCTTATTTTTGTAAAACGAAAGGTTGTTAAATTTTTTGAATTTGGTAAATTTATATTTTGGGGTCTCTCTTCTTTCTAAAGAAGCAAACCCCAGTTTTCATTGAAAATAAAGACTTTTGTAAAGAAGTTTGAGGTGTCTTCACTTCCTTGGAGTTTCAAAATGTGCGAAGTACAGTAACTAAGAAAAGTCAAATTTAGTGACCAACCTCTTTATTATGTTTTCTTTTTACTAATGCAACAAAAACAAACTTTCAAGATCCTCTCACCGTGCCTGGTTTACTCAGCACGTCATAACTTTAACAACAACAAGCATGCACACTTGATTACCATACCCTTCAGAAGTAAGTGTTTCAAAGTATTGCTTGTTCACAGCGCCAATCCAAAATAAAACAAGTAGCTAGATATACAAAATGTCATGAAATCAAGTGCACGGCAACAAGCAAAATATTTAGGAAATGCAATAAAATAGAGATATTGTGTTTTCTTTTGCCATTATGCTATTGGAGCTGGTAATGACGACTATTAAGCCAAATCAAATCATCCTCTATTTACAAATTATCATAAAAGGTAATTAATGAACGGTATTCACAAGAAATTAAAAAAAGTCTTACATCACTGATTTGTAACGCCACACCTATCACACATTAACCAATTAAAATATCTGGACAGTTTTAATTTATATGTAGATGGCTAAGAATAATTTCCTTGAGATCTTACTTTACAAAATTATACAAAATTATGAACATGTTGTAAAAATTACTTGACTGCTCTAAAACTAGTCATAGGAGCCACAAGCAGGAAAGTTAATGTTAAGATGATGAAATATTTCCTTATTGTTTGGCGTATTATTATAAAAGAATACAAAATCACTGACGCTATATCACTTGCTATTTTTCAACACAATTTTCAGTTCCGAGTGTTTCAAAATATGCTCTTTAAAAGCATTGCTTTATTGACAGCAGGTCTTACCATAGTTCTTTCTTATCATTAGGCATCTCATCACATTCTTCGCATATTACACCATCATATGACTTTGTGTACCCTGCCAAGTTAGTAACTAGCCTATAATGGTACAACGGTTCATACATTCTCAATACAAATACAAGAACAACTTTGTAACAGCTCACATACTTCTTACACAAAACACAAAAGTCAAATGTGGCAAGAAACAAGTTGGACAAATCTCGAAAATAGCTCTCACTATCATCAAATTTTGACATTCTGATCATTAGTACATTTTGCAGTATACGTGCCGTATGGGCACATAAAAACTGTCTTTTTCATAAAAATTTTAAATGTTACCAGAGATGTTACCAGAGATTTGAGTCAGAAATTCTGAGTGTCAAAAATTTGAGTCAGAAATTCTGAGTGTCAAAAATTTGGCCTTGGAGATTAACAAGTAAAACAATGTAAAATGTTATAATAACAAAGGAAAAATTTAAGAAGAAATACAATGCAATGTCAACACAAGGTTCTACAGCAGCATAAGAAAGCAAACATAATTAGAAGAAATGAAACACAGAAAAGTTTTTGAAGACTTCAGTTGCAAAAAAAGTTTACTACATGCATCTATGTATATCCACAACATTTGAAAAGTAAGTTTGGATTTCAACACATACCAATGAAGCCAATTCAAAACGCCGTTCACCGAACAGATGGTGAAGAGAGAAATTTCAAGTTAGATTGTCCACACATTCAACTTCCATTTACCCAACATCTCATCATTTGTGGAAGAAAACACTATTTACTATTTACATCTATTAAGTGAGTGATGCCTAGCACATAAAACTGAGAGCATACATGATTTTCATTGACATTTTGTGGTCAGATCAGCCATTTGACTCAAACTATTTTCCTAAACAAAGCATGCAAACACCAAAATCCAGAATTGGTACCATTGTTTCCATGTGATGGATTGGTCTTGGAAATTTTATTTCAGAGCATTACTCCAGGAGTCAATTTTAATTTGGGCCATGTTAGAGATAAACAATATCACAGGTAGCAATGCCAGAGCTCAAGTCACTTAGTATTTGAGCAATTCTCAGTTTTGTGAAAAACATCACTCATTCGTTTTCTCACAGCGACAATGTCTCCTTAAAAAGTTTCTTCATAGTCATGCCTACAGAATTATTTGTAGGCCCTGATGTGGTAAAGGAGAGCTGAAAATACAATAGTATTTTTTAAACTGTTGTCACTGCATCTAAAGAAAATGATGACAGGAAAAGTAATATTTACCTTAAACAGGTACGGTTGGACATCTGGATAAGTTGTGTCAAAGATAAGATCCAATTCTGACTGGTTGGGCATCTTTGGCACATACTCATGCCTATTCATTATCTCAGCTATGTACAGAATTTTATCGGTGAGCATATCACCAACTTTTTCTCGGCATACCTGCCTCTCTGCAATATGATAAACAAGCATTAGAACACTATAATATAATGTTTGGTACTAAAAAGTTTAATAAAGAAGCACTCACCATGCTCAGTTGTTAGCTTGATAAGCTCCAGACGAACATTCCACACCTCCCAGGGAATGCATTCTGGTTGGAAAGGCCAACGATTTTTTTTCTTCTGGAAGAATTCCAATGAAATTTGCCCAGAACCTGGGCCATCATTACAGCGTAGTGCTTCTGAGAAACCAGATATTTCCCTTTTCAATGTCTGGTCTAGGTTCTCAGATGAGCAACACACCTGTGAGTCACGGGTAATTTGCAAATTAGACAACTCAAAAGAAACTAATTTTAATGCAGAATCTTAAAAAGAAGACAGAATACGTACGTAAGTAAAGTCGATGAAATCACAGTCAACATCTTCATAACCAACAGTTCCAACTGAATAGCTACCTTCTTGCTTGTAACGGAACTTCCCTAAAGATCGATGAAATAGAACAGTATGGAATATACTGGCCACGGCTTCATCAACTTGACGACCTTCCACAGTCTGAAATGAAGCAAAATTTCTCTGATTACCTTGTGAAATAAACATATTCCTCAAACTAGTGAAAACAGCTAATCTTGACAAGTCATGTAAACCATCTATGCAGTTCAATATGGAAAAGACCAATCATGATTTGTATACTCAAATGCACAAAGTGGCCCAATGTGAAAGGCACATTGAGGCCAAAAACCACACAGAAATGCAAGGTGGTAGGACACAAGACAAGAAAAATAAATGAACATAACCAACACAACAACATAGGCCTACTTACAAGCTCAAAAGTTTGTGATCGCGCATTCATTTTTCACCAATTCAGCTTCTTTTCTCCATTGACACACCATCTCTCAATTAGGGTGCTGTGGAACTAAGAAGATACGGAAATGCAGCATGAACTGAATTTCGCCACGGAATCACTACGTCTGCACAGCAAGTTGGTTGATGGGTCTCTAGGTACAAATCTTAGTACAAATCAGCTGTTCTTTGTTTACAAGTCACTATGATTCGAAGTGGCGCAGTTCGAGGAAGTGACAGCTGAAAACACTCTCGGCATTTAAAATCGCTCCAGTGTTTTCAGTAAAAGCAGTCACAGAATTATTGGCCAACTTAAATAAACTTGAACCATCCTTTCGTGAATCATTTTCATTTGAGTACTACTCTTACTCTTCTTCAAGTCCCAACAAAGGTACGTTCTAGAAACAATAGTGTTGTTATTGCTTTTTCCCCTGAGAGGCATAGACGAACGGGTATACTGTATTAAATGGAGCAAAAAATATTCAAGCTTCGTTGAAATGCATTTATTTTGATAAATCCTGCTGCTAATTGAGAGAAAATTTGGTTTTATTTTGTGACCGGAATTGACCGACAGGCCTCTGTTTGCCAGGCGGGTTTAGGCGACTCACATCGCGAGGCTATCTTAGAACCAATGAGAATCTCAGCCGAACCTTAAAGCCCCTTGGGAAGTGATAGGAAGATAGATCGGATAGATCCGATGACATTAGATACGAATGAAGCAAACGACTGTGTCATTGCAAACGGGAGTCCGAAAATGTTTCGGCACCATTCGAATGCTGCACCCTTCACCCTGTACGGTAGGGGCCAGTGGCGGGTCCAGAGCCGGCCTGAGGGCGGGGGCAAAGTGTTTGATTTTCTCTATACTGCCAAGGGCTAAGAGTGTCTTTTTGCCAACCTTTCAGGCATCTATCTTGGGTCTGGTGGACGGGGGGAGGGGGGAGTTGTCCTTGTCACTCCTGGTCACTCCCCGGGCGGGTCGGGGAGTGTAGAGACCCTCCCGTCAGAGATGCGCAAGCCACCGCTTGGTAGTCCCGTGGAGTAAAAGGCACCCTGAGTCAGGCTAGCGGGCGACCGCCGTATACCTGCTGTCCCCGGTCGGCCACCTGAAAAAATAGGAGCCGGGGGGGGGGGGCGGGGGGGAGGGTCCTCCCCCGGGGCCCTCCGAGGGGCCCCGGGGTGTCAAAACTAAACGGCCAACCCTATCCTAACCAAACCTCGGGCTCGCGACAGATCTTTTTCTAACTCGCGACAGATCTTTCTCTAACCGTGACAGATCTTTCTCTAACTGGACAGATCTTTCTCTAATCGCGGCAGATCTTTTTCTAACTCGCGAGATTTTTCCTAACTCGCGGCAGATCATTCTCTAACCGCGTTAGATCTTCCGCCAAATGCGACGAAAAAAAGCGCGGACGTGGAATTGAACCCGCGCCTGAGCGTATGGCCCAGGGACGCTAGCCCCATACCACCGGGACAGTTGGGCGGAATCCGTCCTGGCTGCATACAGTATCGGCCCAGCGCCGCTCCCCCACCCGCGGTCCCGTACCCACCCCCCGAAGCTCGCGGCTCCTCCCTCGACGCGCGCGGCTCCTATTCTTTCAGGTGGTGACCGTGCTGCGCCGCACCAGATGCTGACCTGCGTAGCCTCGCGGGGGCGAATTCGGGCTTCCCGCTCCGCATGGGACTACCAATCGTCTGTGATTGGCTGAGAGGGCCCCCCCTTGCGCATCTCTGACGGGAGGGTCTCTAGGGGGCGAGTATTCATCTTGGAGAGCACTTGTGTGAAAGGTGCCCTGCGAGAGGCTAGGAGGTGCCGAACCGAACGGAGACCCGAAGCCGAAGGCAAGCCGAAGGCCCCGACTCGGCCCGAAGCCAAAGCCAAAGGTGCCATATGAAATTCAATTATTCTGATCATGCAACTAAAGTTACTAAGTCACTCATATTGCTTGGGGAAAAGAAGAAAGGATGTCCACAAACTCAAAACTAATTTTGGAAAAATATTTTAAAAATATACGATGGGGAAAAATTGCCATAAGTCAACAAAAATGGTGACATTTACTGGCCTAATATTTCTTTTTTTGTTCCAAAATGTGAACAAGTGCATCATTTTCGCTTCTTAATTCTGTTGACAACTATCTAAGAAACTTCGGAAGAAAAAGAGAGATAAATTATCAGGCCGAAGACTAGACCTGACCATAACTGTTGCGCGGAATCTCTTAAACTAATCGATGAGAGATTACGACAACTGGAAGCTTACAACTTTCTTTAAATTTTGTTTGTGCATGTTAGATGTTCTACAATACATTAGTCATACTCGCAACTTCTTTAGTACAGGATTCAATGGACAACTAATACGAATTGTTTTTTATTTTGTGTTAATAGCTGTTTTTTTCCCACACCTCACCTTGAGCTATCATTTCATTTTAGCGTTAAGCTAAATGTCTCTTGCGACTGACTTTTTGACCTCAAGGTCTGGTCCGAAGAATTTTAAGTCTCTGCGTCTCTGCAAACTTTCGGCACTTGCATTAACGGAGTCTTGTTTTAGCAAGTTTGAGAAAAAAATTGGTTCGACTAATTTAAAAAAGCTAAACAAAAATATTCTGTTCTATCTTTTAATTTTTATCCAAATATTTAAAAAGGTTTGGAAAATAAGTTGAGTAATACAGTTCACATAATTCACTTGATGCAAGAGTTGTTTGTTGTTTTCTTTTTCCAACATATTGTCAAATTGTTTAAAAAAACACTTATGCGGCCCTTACATTTTATAAAATGCCCATGGTAACATTGTTTTTACCTCTAGAGTTAAAGAAATACATAAAATGAGCAAACACCACGACTTCGGGTTCGGTCAGTCGTTTCGGCCAGTTCGGGTCCTCCCGCGCTCGCTCGGGTTACGCTCGGGTCCCGAACCATCTAGCCTCGCGCAGTGCCTTTCACACAAGTGCTCTCCAAGATAAATACTCGCCTCTAGGGGAGTGATGTGCGTTCCGCTTTGTTTCTCATCCTCCGCACTCGCTAGCCTCGCACCACGCAGGCGCCGCCAGTTTCGCGACGTCGTTTCATCAGGTGGTGTTTTTGTAGATTTGTTTACTGTACGGCTATTTACCAAGTGGTTAAGTGTTTCAAATTGGTTAATACTATGCTCAAAAATAATTTTCGGGACTTGTGCTTAAGATAAGAGCAATATACGCCATGGCAGAGTCGTCAGAAGGTGCCAATAATAGTAATGAACAAGAAATGGACGCAGGAATGGATCAGCACTCAGGTAACATTTCTCTTTCGCCCTTTCCAACCTTTGATTTATTTAACACTCGATCATCCACCTCGTCTAGACGCGAGAAGGTTCCATATATTCTCATGGATTCGGACAAAGAGTTCTCTTTCAATTAAAACATTTCAACCCTCTCGAGCCACATGAACCACACAGTTTCACCACTTGAGGAATTGGCACAGATGCTCTCCACTCCGGTTTTTATTATTAGTTGAACCGCACTCTCAAAATCCGTGTCAACAGCTTACCACCACCTCCTGCCATATATCCAATTAGTAGTAGTGTGTGTAACTGCTTCCACAATGCGATTGACCATCACACGGTTGCTGTCAGTTTGAATGCGCAGGTTATGACAAGTAAATTAATTTTTGTAGTTTGCATGATTGTTTTGGAATGTGTGATTATGTTGCCTGGGTTTTCTTATTTGAGAGAAAGCATTGAGACCGTTTTCACCTACAATGTTTGCTTTTGAGTGTCAGCTTGTCTTTATGAAGACACGCAGTTCTGAATTACGTTTATTGGTGATGTATGACATGACGTTGCTAAATAATTTTTGTGACTTTTGTCTTAATGAAAAACTAGTTATCATTTCATTTCTCATGTGTGTATGTTCAAACTAAATTTGTTAGTATATCATGAATAGTTTACTTGGAAATGAAACATGTCCTTGTTGATTCACCATCTTGTATGTCTTATTTTCTCTCAAGTTACTGGTAGATATGCATGTATGATACACCTGGTAAACAATTTTTCTCTTGTCTCTTATATGTTCTCAAATTTGTATTTACAAATGAAATTTTGTTGTATATTATAATGTTTTTAATATGAATTGTAGCTATTCTAGACATTACCACAAAGATTCCAGAATATGCATGGCTCAGAAATTCTTTTGCTTTCCCCAATATTTGTTGCTTAGTGGTAACAGTTGCTTTTTCTGTTTGCTGATTTTTTGGCGTGTGAAATGTGAAATAAAAACAATCAAATGTAGATTTAAATTTAAATGAAAGTAAACACAATTTCTGGCCAGTGCTTCATTTTTATTGTATGATCAATATATGCTCTTGAACTGCATGTTTTTGTTGCTGTTTTGTAGTGCACTGGATTCAATAATATAGGATACTATCTGCCACAATGTTTATCGTTGGAATTGTTGTACCAAGTTGTTAAGCCTAGTACATAATAATACTGTGTTTGTGTTGGTTGTTTGTTTTTCAATTGGAATTTCTCATGTGAACACCGTAAACATTAGATCTAATTTGCTTATTTTTATGTTTTTCAAAAGACTTGCAGCATGTTGCATGCTCATAATGCACCCTGTTAAAAGCTTTCTTGAGAAGACAACCATTGCTTTTAAGAGATCAGATTTTGCAGTAGTCACAACAGCAAAGGTAACTTGCCAGTCATGTTCAAACAATACACAAAATTTCCTTGTTGCCGCAACAGTTTTGAAACAATTTGCATAAGTGAGCCAAATCACATATATGGACTCCTGCTGAAGCAGTTGATTTCACTTTGACATATAATTTCAACTTCAGACTTTTGCGTGTGATCAGTAAGCACTGGATTCAACTGATACTGAACTGTGCTGAAAATCAGTGCACATAGTACTTTCTCGGGCTTTATTCACTTTAATATTTTTCTTTTTTCAACCACGATTTTTTTTTTTGTTGGAGGGGCTGCGGGGAGGTTGGGGTGTGGGTATGGGTTGTTACCTTTTGAATCTAGCAGCCATTCCTTCCCGAGTCCTCTCGCCTTAGACTCCGGGGCTCCTGGATTGACTGACTCTGCCTGCTTGTATTGCAGCGCCCTGCGACCTGGGCGGCCTGGGCGAGGTGCTGCTGCTGGGCGACGTGCCCGACGGGGCGGGGCCGGAGGGGGCGCGGCCCGCCCCGCACGTCCAGCGGCTGCTGCAGTGGATCCACCAAGCTGGCGGCCACGCCGACGACGCCGACGAGGCCGCCAGCCAGGCCGAGCGGGACATGGACGCGCTGCTGGGGCTCGTGTACGTCCTGGTGCTGGAGACGGGCTTCCTGCCGCTGGGCAGCGACGACGGCTTCGAGGCGCACCCGCGGGGCGTCCTGCAGGCCTTCAACCTGCGCCGCGTGCGCGGCATGCCGCGGGG